AGACAGAACTTAGAGGATCTTTAAATTTTTTCATATGTGTAATGTAAATGATAGGATGATAAATTGCGACTGCTAACATGAATAAACATAAAAAGGCAAACATAATGGAGATGGTCAAAATAGACATTCTTTCATTGAAGAGAATAATACTGACCAAAAATAATAAACACATTGCATCGCTTAAAACTTGCAAGGAGAAAGTAATTTGAAACATATGTACAATGGATTTATTTTTTCCAATTCTGAATTGTTCGACTCGCGAAAGTCGCTGCTGTCGAAGTCGAAGTCGTAATTGTTGCATTTTCATTGGCGTTAATGATCGATTTTTTAATTTGTGTAGAATACGTGGATAGCAATGTAGTATAGTTACCAGTTGTAGTATATATATTAATGCCGCTGTTGATATTACTAATAGCTTGACGGTAAATCTAGTTGCAATTAGACCACATAAACTTTCTATTGGAGGAAATGGACCACTTGTGATAGTTCTTGGCCAAATCATTAGGACACTCACTAGCCAAATTGCTATAATAATTAGTAATACGTGAATTCGTTTTAATTTTTCAACCGGTGAAGTTGCAATAGCTTTATAACGCTCGTAGGTAATTAAGACTACAGATAAATTAGATATCATAAAAGCAGTCACTAACGTAGGTACAACTAATTTGCAAATAAAGATTTGAAAAAATCTTTGATGGAAAATGTTAGTTAAATTTAACGTTGCTCCATATCTTCCCCAAGTTAAAAAAGTGAATGATATTGTCAAGAAGACGTTCGCCACTGCCAAATTTCCTATGCATATATAAGCCGGTGAACGCATATCTTTGTGGGAAATGATGATCATAATTAGATATAAGTTACTGAATAAACCGATGATTTCCAATGGTAGATAGAAAATAGCAACTAATTGGTAGAGAAACAGTGAGCTATTATGTATTATATTTATATTATCATAAGAATCATTCCATGATGTTAAATTTTCCATCTCAAGCCAATTTTTTGAATTTCTTTAAAAAATGTAACCTTATGAACTGGTTCATATATCATGTGTTATAGACATGCTCTTACGGCAGTGATTCTATAAATCATCAATTCTTAATTTTAGTTTATTCAATTTAAAGCTATAATTAATGAATTAATTATAATGGTTTATACCTATCAGGAGCTCATTACATTAATGAATTCTATTATTGAGATAATTATATATTTCCATGACGCGATAGATGACGATTATAGTTTGGCTAGTATTAAGATTGAGAGCTAACGTGTGTACAAATATAAAACTACATGCTGTCATATTAAAAAGTCTGCAATAGTTAGTGTTATACACTTTTAAGGTATTATTGTCATGTATTTAGATAAATAAATATGTAATCGACAATTAGTTTCTTTCATAACATACAGAAGAGAAAAATTACACTTCATTCTTACATTAATAATATCCCTTGTTACTTAGGATTGTCGTAGGCTGTTCAACTATTTTGATAATAAATTATCAAAATTCGAAAACAAAGCGATTTTAGTTTCTATAATAGGTTAATTATAAGTAAAATAATGTTATAAAGATTACAATCTCACAATAAATGGTATCACATGCATACATGAATTTATTTATGTCGTTTGTGATAGTGGTTACTATTAAGAATCAAGATTTAAGTTTTAAAATTTTACATTACCTTTATCATGCTAATAGCTACAAAATTGATTAATATATAGGTTGTCTTTTCGTTGCAAGTTTCCGTGCATTACTGATGTTGCACCTCAGACTAATATCATTCAATTTATTGTAAAATAACCTACTTTAAGTGGAAACATATCTGCAAGTTTTAAATCTATAGTCGCTAGTAAATGAATTTTCAGCCTATCTTATATCGAAAGTTAGTCTCTTTTACATAAGTTAGAGAAATCAAAATAGTTTACTGTAGAGCTTAATTAGAAGATCTATAATAATGGTAAAGCCGTCACTTAGTCGATTCCTTGCAATCATAAAAATTTATATTTATTATGGTAGCAGGTAGCCTACGTCTTGATGATATTTCATCAGCCACCGTTCCTCTCTGGTATTCGCTACTATAACTTAATTCTGTGATACATAGTCAAATTTATAATTTATAGTCTATTTCTAATTTTTTTATGACGTATGAATTTTGTATATCTTCTTTACAAGAAAATAGCTGATGAATAAAGACTTACAAAGAATAATTTGAGTGAAACAAATTAAAATAAGGTGAAGATTATAATACAATCGAATATAACTATTTTTTTCCTCGTTCAAATTACTCTCGGATTTACATTATAGATATCTTTCATAGGAAATCTTTGTGTAATATCATGAACAACTAGGAAAGTGATCTTATGACTCCTTTTCAGCAGTTCACTTATAATCTCTCTTCTGGTAATCCATATCAAAATCATCCTGACCAAATCATTTTATAATGTGTCTCGTAATGACGCTAATGTCGTTATCAGTAGACTATTTTAAATTCATTATTAATCGACCAAGCTGCTTATTGATTAAATTTAAATATATACGTTAAGATTTAATTTTTGGGCTTACTTCCATTTACAGGAAGCGGTGAATTTCTTAATGAAATGCTAATGTGAGACATTACTGGAATTTTATAGTATTCAGAACTTTAATTGCTATAACGTTAAAATTTTATTGTAATAGTAATTATCTTCCTATAAATTAGCATTCTTTTTTGTAGTATCTTGGTTATTTCCAGGAAAATCTGAATCTAGCTTGATGAAAATAATATGTGTAACGAAAAGTTGTTTATTTAAAATCCCTAACTGACTGTATTTATTCTTAATTTCCTGATTTATACAATTCTGCGATAGCACTGATAAGTTCATTTCATCTAATTGAGAAAACTTCCTCTTTTCAGATTATGTCAATATAAATAAGCTTTAATGCTTTAGATGTAAATATCTTAGCAGTTATCAATCGACTATATCTATTAACAGGTATAAAGTAAAAATGTAGGTGTAACCATATACGAGATCAAAATTGGATAGTGATATCAGTTAATGTTTATCTTTAGTATTCGAAACAATTAAGTTAAAAGTACTGAATATATGCCAGAATTTATATAACTTTGGTAGGCCTATTTATAGTGAATTGTTGCAGTTACTATAGCTATTCCTAAGCTTACATTCTAATAGCGCAATAGCAGTTACGAGGGATAGACTATATTGAGCAGTTTTCATCGAAATATAATAGACTAATTTGAAATATCCAATCTAATAAAATCCGATTTGGATACTGAGATGGTTGCGTCGTAAATTATTAAAAATGTACTAGCGATTAAAAGGGATACAATTACATTTCTATGATGCATAATGCTGTTACTGAAATAAAATTTTCCATAGTTTGGTAGTATCTGTTCTGTAGGCAAGTATGCCAGTCATTGATTATTTACTAAGTTTAATACTTTACTAATCTTATAAGTAAGATTTCCATATCAGGTACAAATGTTCATTACATTTATGAATTGATTTTGAACAAATAAAAGCTAAAAATGGAGGAAAGAAATTTCATAGTTCAAGATGATCCGGTCATTACTATAGGTAAGGGTTCAGTCTACAGTGAGTGGCATTACTGAATTTGAGCTGATCTTGATAATTACTAATTAGTGTATGATATAAATTATGAACGAGAAACGCCTTACGTCGCAAATGATGTTTATTTTATTTACAACAGTTACGTTTACTTACAGCTAATACGAATTTTTTTAAATATTGAATTACTTATTTTGACAATTATTTAAATAACTATAGTAATATTTACTGTGGCTTGTTGCACTCACCACCTGAGCAAATATAGTATAAGTGAGATTTCGATAATAGATAAAAGAAAAGCAGACAGATATAAGTTAATTTTCACCCATGGGAGCTTTTAGTGATGATAATTCATTTTGCACAAAAACTCAAAATTTCGTGACATTTACACCATTTGTTAATATCTAATTGAAATAACTTGTAAGTGTATAGTCTACGATGTAGAGTATGCTGAACTATTCTATAGCTGCTATTATCTTAAATTAATAGCATTAACGAGCTCAGAATGACTGGTACTAATGCAAGTCATATACAAGTCGTAAGATGGAAAATGATTAACGTAACATTTTAAATCTGTTATCGATATGAGGATCGAAATTGCATTGCAATATAATTCAATTCTTTTCCTATGTAAAAGTATATCAAGTCAGTTAGTAGTAGGCCGTCTCCTTCATAGAAGATATCAGATGCATAACTAAAACTGACTTATAATTTTTAAACATACATCTTGTTTTAGCAGTGGATTGGTCAGCAACTGTAAAGACAAACTGGATAACATTAATTGGTGGGATGAATTAATCGTAACAGCTGCCTTGGTTCTTCTGACTGAAAACAAACTTGTTAACGCTCAATGATTTACAACGCAATTAATGATAATGAGTAAGTTATGCGCAGAAGATGGTATTAAACAAATAAATTACTTCAAAAACATACTAGTTATCTAATAATCGTGACTTCAATGTTACTGGGTAGTAAAAATAGCATGCTCTCCAATAGTATTAACACAAGTGTATAATTACTGTATAACATGTTATTAATTAGAACTTTACTGAAATCTACTGGTTCTATAATAATACCCAGGTATAATAATATCACCGAATAGGAAAAATGGTAAAATCTCAAGTATTAGTACAAATGTGTATTTACTGTACTGTATATCAGGTTATTGATTAATACTTTACTGTTACCGTCTATTTATCGAATGTTTTGCAATAACAATTTAAAACATTTACTTTAGAGCAGACTTGTAGGCTGCATACAATAATTATGTATGCAAGAATAATAACAATTTACTTAATAAATATCAGAGTCTGTAACATCTTGAAAAATTAATTACGTTGCAATAGATGTTCCGATATATGCAGGATATGATTATCAAGTTCATAACTGCAGAAAGGAATGCATTTAGTTGCATAAATATGTACTTATAACGTCAATTTCTATCGGCTTCTTTGAAAGCGTGCTAATCTTGCTTCTCTAACTTTATCAACATCATTAGAATTGGGCATCTGACTGGGCTGTGGATAAGTACGCTGGATATCATTCTGAACTAGAAGAGGAGGAGCAGTAGCAATCGGCCTAAGAAATTTTAAATTAAGAATTTGAAGTCCGTATCAGACGTAAGATCTTGTCCTCGCTAGATAGATATTTTTACAAGCAGCGATATTTCACCTATTATGATGGCTTTCTTGTAAGCTAGCTTGTATTGCCTGTTGGAATTCAGGATCATCGTCATCGTTAATAGGTTCGTACTGTGGTCGTCGACTGCCTGGATAGGATGGACCGCTGACGTTATTGACGTTATCTGCATGGCTTGGAGTTTGCATTCTATAACCAGTCACTCCTATTTACGAGTATGAAGCCATTAATTATATAATGTATATACACTAGTATTAGTAATTTACGTGTACAGTATTTGACAAGAGGATTATATATTATCAAAAGAAATTTGTTTCCTACCTGACGACTGAAATCTTTGATGATGTCTTCGATTACTAGAGCCTCTGCTACCTGTAACTGTATAGATGATGATAGAGATTTTAATACTGTACATCATGCATACTTTTACTTTATTGGTTAATGCAGTTCTCTTGAGTTACTTGAAAGAGCACATAATAATCGGATTAGTAAAGCAAGTGGAATAATCTTTTACGATCAATCTTTAGTAATTGTTAATGTGTAGAAGAGATACTCAAAGTCTTTCTTACTTCGTAATCGCTAATTGTTCACTTAGTGAGAACTATGTCTAGTCTTACCAATGCTGAAGATAGAATCCAGGATAGATCCAATTGGTGTCTTTACATATGCTAATCCAACTAAGATACCAGCTAAGTGGCCTAGGAAAGAGCTGTTTGGTACTAAGACTTGGATAAGAACTAATTCAGCCCAACAGGCGTAGCGTGAGCTAATAGGAATCAAGTTCATTATATAATTGGTGCTAGGGGGTGAAACGTATGTCGCCACCACTTTAAGAGCAAATATAACTCCTAAATACAGTCAGAAGAAGAAACTTTATTATCGACAGTGTCTAGAAAAATAAATAATGGCTTTAGATGGCGATTGAATTTTTCTCACAGAAAGAGTCTGATAGACATGTACTCTATGTAGAAAAATTACCTGAAAAACCAACAGCACAATCGGTAAAGTAGTGTAGCTTGTCAGTATGATGTCCTATTGCGTAGCTTATTGCCACTAAGGTGACATTAGTTAATGCTGTAAAGCTGATAATCATAGATAGAAAGTGTAAGCTTCCATATTTCTTCTCTAAATGTATCCCTTTCCATAGAAATGAGACCATATTATAGTAAAGATGCATATCGCTAGCATGAAAGAAGGCTCCTAATATTAATCTTTGCCATTCGTTCATATACCAAACAGACTTGACACTAATGCAAACTTCACTTAAATGAGGTAATCGATAATCAGGTAATAGATTCATAAACAGGATTGAATTGAGACCAATTGTAGCCAGTGTGATCGGTGGAATACGATCTAAGCCTACATGAAATAGGTTAGCAAGGAGTAAAAGTAGACCAAAATTGTTTCCGCGTCTCCTTAAGACCATTTTGATCGGATCGGATGTTTGAAGCAAATATCTCGACAAGAGTAAGAGGCGATGATCCAAAAAGCTCGATATCGATGGCCACAGAATAAATTGAAAGATTTCAACGCGTGTCGCCAATATTGAAGAAAGCGAATGAAAGAAAAATTTCAATATTCAGCTAATAGATACTACAGGAATCATTTGCTGTCTATTCTATTTGAAAAGGACATTGAATATCCATTTCTCCTTCCTAACTGTTAATTCTACTGTCGAGTGTTGGCTTAAAACCTTTGTTGATATTGGTTGAAATCAGCGAACTCGTTATCGTATTGGGTTTCAGGATAGCACACTGATCTTCAGTATAGAGTGTTCAATCTTGGTAAGGTTACGATCGCCGAACACGGATTGCGCTGTGATCTTGCTAATACGTCTTGGGATGATAGCCAATCGTAATTGCATGCAGTAAAGCTTTAGAATAATAATAATAAATCAGTTAGAAGAAATAAGATGTCAGCATTAAGTTAGAAATAAGATTGGAGCGTAGAACATTTGTATACGTAGACCAGATGACGTCACTATAATTAATTTTAGAGTAGCATTCAATTGATAGTAAGACACTAGAGATCGGAGCGATGATTGAGTTGTCCTACTACCATATCAATGTCTTGTTTTCAAGGGATATTTTACTGCTTGTCGATATGGTTTGGGACTGACGTCGGATGGACAGACTTTCACTCTCGCTGAGGCCGAAAATGTCGAAAAATAGTAAAGCAGTATAGATCTTCCGAGTCTATTTTCGAAAGCAATCGTATTAATTTGAATAATATTTGTGATCTACTGCATGGTTGCTACTTCCAACCAGAGCTTAGCATCAGACGATGGAATACAATGTCGTATTACTTACTTCATTTAGAAAAAATCAGCCAATTCAGAATCGACTGTCTGCCTATTAAAGTATTCTCATAACAGAGTGTTTGGCACAATTTGTTGACGAAATGTGGCTAAATGTCTATCCAGTTCAGGTATTTTTCAACGAATGGTCTATGGTACAGTGCAGTATTACAGTAGACGATGCTGGTGGGACAGTAGTACCAATCTTATCCATATAAAACTGTACCAATAAATTACAATCTAGAATCAAATCTGTCAGAACCAACTCCTACAGTACGTTAGAAATGTATTTCTCTGACTTTCGTTTCTGAGCCTATACTGCAAAGTATATTGCCTCTTGGTCAGATTTATCATATTCGCATTCATTTACCGTTTAAATAATATGAAATTGACTGCATTGAGTGCTCTACACTATTAAATCCATATAGCACAGTATACTACGAGCATAGTAAGGTAAAAAAGTACTACTGGTAGTCATGGACAACTAAATTACGGGTCTGTGCATCGAGTAGACCATGTATTAGTACACTCAGTACGCCAAGTATAGCGATCTTAACGGGTGGGCAATTTTGTAAACAATAATAAATGTGTTTTCTTTGGCTTTTTGGTAAATTTACTATCATTGCCGTCGTCAGCCAGCTGAAGTAAATTTCGTCTTTTGAAAGTCGATTTTATTTGCCAAATAGTTATATGTTTATTATCCTCTACTGGTATCTAAGCAACTGTGAGCCACGCTAGTTACTATATTGTCGTGTTTTCACCGATATCACGATAAAGTCTCTCACTAGGATTTCAAATAAAATAAGCACTAATTACAGAAATAGCAATCAGATCCCCAAGAGACCTTCAATTTTGCGAATAAAAAATAAAATTCGATTTTTTGTCAAACTCTGATTGGAAGTACGTTAGCTTGTCACCATTGGCCAGCCAAGTAAATTTCACCGGCTGAGGAAAGGATTTTTGCCCGACAGTCATTTGGTGTATCTTGACTGTTTTTCGTAGGACAGTGTTGTGTGATGTGTTATATTAACACGCTATCTAAGAGTCGATACGTCAAACATGAGAGACTATAAATCGCTTATTATAAACGATTTCCACTACCGTTTGCCATGGTTGTAACAGTACTATAATTTATATTCAAGTAGAAAGTTTATTTCTTAATGCGAATATTATGTCTGTTATCAATTTATTGGCAGGACGTACCATTTTGGTCATGTAGTATTTATATTCATATCTCAGTATTCTATTGTCGATAATGGTAAACAAGAATAAAATAATAATTTAGAGAAAAAATCTTGGACTTTCTTCTAGCCGCAACCTGAACTGATACATAGAAAAGAGATCCGGTCAATTGTATTACGTAAGATATGAAAAATGCATTTTAGAGCATTATATACTTAAATGTTCAACAGTGCTGAAATCACTCAAGTATTCAGAACTTTAACTTGGATTTAAATATCTTTGACAGCCTTTACAGCGGATCTTAATTTTTTAGACATCCATATAGAAGATGTTGATCCCAACACAGCATTAAGGTTGTGATGCATTTGTGAATCATGATTGATACGGAATTTGTAATGCCCGATTGTGTAATATTAGCGTGTACTTCCTTTTGTGATGTATTATCTTTTGAAGCAAGTATACAGCATACTCATATACTGTATAAAGCCAGATAGCTATCATATAAACATGCCCTACTTGTAATTAAATGCCTGGATTAACGTAAACATAGCCAACGAATAAAAAATGTAGGGTATTGTAGATTTTGAGATTAATAAAGGAACTATAATTGACGTCATTCTATCGGCGTGTTCATTTCCTGTAGTGATATATTAAAACGTAATTGAAACTGCATGCAAATATATTATGCTATAGAATAGGATATTATTTTGAAAGAAGGGAAAGCTGAAATTGTTGGCTTAGAGTAATTTTTAATCAATGCAGACGCGTTATTGATGCCTGCTTTTAGCGAATCATATCTGCTTCCATTGTTAGAATTGAAATCATTCAATTTCCTACGGCCCTTTTTTGAATAAGTATTATCAAAATGTTTCAGAGAAATCGAAGTATAAAACAACATAAAGTACCGATTGACTACGATTTTGATTTAATTGTTCCATTTTACTGAAAAAGTTTTTTCTCTCATGTTTATGTATAATTATCCGTAATCAACATAGAATCAGTCATGTTCGTTTGCCAAAAAGGTACAACTACGATTTCAATTTATCACAAGAATGAAACAAGCTTTAAGTATCCAACGATTTATGACCAATATCTTCAAGCTGCTGTGGTGTTAAATTCTACCGTTGCTATCATTAGCATCATATTAAACACTTATGTTTTACTTGTTATTACCTATAATAAAACCATGCGATCAGCTGCTCACTTGGGAATGATAAACTTAGCTTTCGCTGGATTGATATGTTCGGCTTCGTTTTCAGCGGCTGATGGTATAATATATTACTCTAGTATCAATAAGCTACTACAAGATAAATTAGTTATTGATATTACATGTGGAGTTGCTGTTCCATTAGGTATGTCAGCTTATATGGCCAGTATCGCTACATTAACTTTTATTGCGATCGATCGTTATCGTGAAATGGCTGTACCGTCATCACACAAGTGGAAAAGATGGCAACTATTATTCGGATTGATTACAGTCTGGCTATTCGGCTCGTCAATAAGCTTTCCGCACGCTCTAAATAAACTCAATTCTCAATCGCTTGTCAAAGCGTGCGATTTATGGGTTTTACGTTATGATGGCAGGAAAGTTAACCTTTATCTCATTGACATTCCTCTTTTCATACTCTTTTTGATAATGCTTCTCTGCTATCTAAGAATTACGATCAAAATAAAAAGTACGAACAAAATTTTAGATGCTAATCAAGCGGATGATAATACTATTTCACGAGTAGACGAAATTAGATCGCAACGTAGAAACTTATTACTGAAAGTCTTCCTGATCATATCCTTGATACAATTTTTGTTAATTCTTGTATGGCTTGTGATGATTCATGTCCTAGTTTTGGGTTACGACGTTGCTAATATCCATTTACTAGGGCTTTTATCTATTATGAATCATACATTTTTGATATGTATGAGTAGTTATAATGCTTTTATTTATATCTATTACTTGGAAAGATTTCGCTTCTTTGTTGAAAAATTGTTCCCGTGCTGTATGCGCTTAGAAGGTGAGGAACAAATGAACCTAACAAATGATCGAGCACAAAATCCTTATGCGATATATCAAGGAGAGCCCGATGGTGCAGCCATGGAGACAAACAATGAAAATTAAAGATATAATTGTAATATAGCAATAACTGTGTAGCTAGAGTAAATAATGATTCGATATTCATGAACGTAATATTACACAAAATATGGATAGAGCATCCTTTGATCGATGATAATATATTAAGACCGTTCTTGTCAGGTACAAAGCAACTATCTTACGAGGAATACTTTAGATCATGTATGCAAATGATATACGTACTGCACGGTATTGTATATTATAACTACCCTATACTGGCACAGTTTTTGTAAACTATCCAAAATTGTTGACACAATAATTAGATGGCTAAAATTTTCGATTTCTATGAATTGCATTGTTTTATTCATGTTAAGGTATGAATACTGCATTAGCACTGAGGAATTTATTGTCAGCGATATTGAATGTCTACTGTATGATATTAGTGAAGTTAGATCTAAGTTCATACATTTACTACAGCATATTTTTTTTTATAATATATCACAATAATAATCTTTACTAGTTATCTCAAATGGCCTACGGCTAGTGCAGTAAGATGTAGATTTAGTCACATCTGAAATCAAAAATTCCTGGTCTATTGAATTTTTATATACTGTAGCTGCTCGATTAAGCCGTAATATATATATTCTACGAAAATTCTTGTTTCTTTCGATAGGTCGTCGAAATAAAGTAGGAGGAATGACAGCCTCGAGTTGATATTTATTTCATTCCTTTATTCCAATGTTTCGCTTTGAATTTAATCCGAGCAAAATTTCATAATATATGCATGAGGTTGTGTGAATATCCATCCAAAAAAGAATAAAATATCTAAATGATTCAATTATTTCTTAATTAAAAATCCGGCAACATCTTTGTATGGCGAATATAATATCATTTATCATAATATAAAATTTTGCGATTCTCTTTTGTCGTCGATTATATTTCCAGTTACACATTAGCTATTAATGCTTAAAGATTACAAATTTTTTCAACTGAATTTCGTTATGAAATATTCAATTTATTTTAATAGTACTTTATCCATTCCCACTATCGAAGTTTGAGACATTGTAAATATAATAAAATGTTGCCTTTATGATAGATAATCATGAATTCATAAATTTTTTGCGATGAATAACTCTGCATAGTATGCTGAGATTTTCCGGGTAATAGAAGCAGATTTTTTACGCTCCGTTTTTACATTTTTTTCTATCGAGCTATATCCAAACTTAATCTTAGATTCCTTCTACTGATTATGCAAGAATAAATACTAATTATTCATAATAAATATTTACCAATTTGACAAAGATAGGGCTGAAATTTATTAAATTCTCGTTTTAGTAGTGCAGTATACCAGTATTTCAAAGTGTAGGTTTATAATTTTATAGTTCATATTATTAACCTATAGATAATTTGGAATATCCTGATTGTATCTACGCTGTTATTGAAAAATAGTTGTGTCTTTATGATACTCTGTCCCAATTACGAGATTTTAATTGGTTCGATAAAAATTTATGATGCAGTAAGGACATGGCAGAAATGTTTGTAGGTACATTACAGTACAGCACGTACACATGATTTCGAAAATTTTACATAATAATCCCAAGGTAGTGGGGTGTGAGTGACAAGGTAATAACGTATTTTCTATTTATTATTTTTATATTTGTGACGTTCTATAAATAAGTACTTATTTCAATAGAAATTTGTTAGCAGTGTGTAATAGAGCGTAAATCCAGTTTACTTCTATTTCGATCGGCGGAATCTATCTAACAAATCCCTTTACACCCCCTTATGATACTTGAAGCACAGATGAAAAATATCCTTGACATTTGGCAGCGCACCTCAAATCATGATTATCAGCCATATGAATATTGATTAAGGTATTAAAAATAAAAAGGATCTAAATGAAGACTATAATAGTCAGGAATGAGATCGACATGAGAGATAAGTATTGATTCAGAACAGAAGTCATGAATTTAAAGGGTATAGCTCATATGATGCAATAATGTAGCATAGCTGGTTGAATGGACGTCAATAACTTACCTAGTCGGCTGCCCTTGTCAATTGTATAGTTGCAGTATTTTATCAATTTATCTTGCAAAGTACAATCGGGAACATGCACTACTGAAAAATCTTCTTTTAAGACTTCACGATGTGGAATTAGTGACCTTGAGGTTGAGTTATTTGGGCATTCATATGGGTGTACCGATTTTTAAACTGATAGCAATAGTTTAAAAACAAAATATTGGTGCTGAGTGATTTAGGAGAACAAGTTGACCGTATACTAGTGTACAGCCACTGCATATTTTTATTACTGTACTAGTACTACAGATTACGGTTTACAAATACGATACGCATTACGCCGTTATAATTAATAGTGAGTAGAAATATATGATAATTTGTTTATTTAATATAATTATGTAAATTTATGATTGCGCAATTTGCATTTGTATCTAAGTATAGAAGTACAATTTGCCTTGCATATTTTCTTATACAGTAAAATTTAAAATTTTAAGATTATCTTTATTACCATTGTCAGTAGATCAGTGTCACCGTAAATTCTTTAACATATGCTTTAACATGCTTTTGATTAATTAATATGATCAATAAGACTGTACCTCGTCGGCTCGAGTGATGCTTTCAGCAAAGTCTTGCGAACACTATTAACTGTAATCGGCGATCCAATTTAAAATTGTTTCAGTTTTATCGCAAATCATAATTTACAATGTAATGTTTATAAACATAGCAGTAAAAATAATAACTTTGGTTTTATCATTGTTTCTACTGATGGCAATAAATGAGAGTTGATTATATGAGACTAACTTTCTTTTTTACTCGTATTTATTACGGTAATTTGCAAAATAATAGATTTATCAATTATGTTTTGACGCGGATTACAGTAAGATGAGATTCCCCACGTATCGCTTGACATTTTATGGTAATTATGTATCTCCTAAAATTCTATTTATTCTACTTTAGCTAATTAACGGCAATAAATAATTTAATGTAATGCAACTACTGTACTTAATAGGATTATACTTAATACGGTATAGAAAGTGATAATAATTCTCAATAGCTATGCCTTATTAGTACGATTTAGAAGATTTTGAATGAGTGTTGCGAGGTTATGAGCACAGCGACGATCGAATCGAAAGAATAGTTCAGGCTCTAGTATTTCGAACTCTGATAGTAGTAATTGATTTTGAGAGTCGTATATAGCATCTACTCGAGCGTAAGCCGGTTTAGTCCTGCATTTCTCTACAACATTTTCGGCAAAATGACGTTCCTGATCCGATGCAGTATATGGAAAGACATACCCTCCATAGTCGTCTTGAATCTTAAATTCTCCTTTTTTAGCTACTTTAAGTACACTATGAGTTAGTTTACCATCGATGACCACAAAGGACATTTCGCCTTTTGTAGTATAAGCTTCCATAAATGGCTGGGCAAGCAATTCCTTCTGTGATATCAAATCTGTGAGAATACTCTTGTATTCATCGATTTCATCGCGTTTTATCTTGAAAGTATTTTTGGCAGCAGCTGACACAGCCGGTTTAACGACTATAGTTTGTGTCTGGAGTTTATTAAAGATATTATCAATATTTCTTAGATCATTATTGCATAATTTTATCGTTTCCACGATAGGAATTTTCTTTTCTTGGAATTCAAATAAGTAATTTTTGTCTATATTCCACAAGCATAGATCTGCTGAATTAATTAAAATCGTCTTTTTCTCTGTTAGATGTATCCATTCTTTAAAACTTTCCCAATAATCGGAATAGTTCCATGTAGAGCGAATGATAGCACAGCGTACAGTCTCCCATTCGAATGGAATATCCCAAGCAACACGTATTGCAGTTAATCCCACATTTCTTAGGCAATGGATGAGTAAGCTTTCTTCAAATCTAGACTGGATACGGTAGAAATCGTGATCGGGTAAATCTTGAAACCGGCTACTGTTACAAGATTCGGTTACAATTGCTACGTCAATCATTGTCATTCACGATTCGTTTTCTTTTTCCTACACAATATTTCGACAATCAAATACTACGGTGCTACACTAGTTAATTAATTAAGTTAAGCCTTCCAGCGCTTAGTACTATCCTTAAGAAGAAATTTTTCAAAAACTAAGCGATTTTTTTAGCTTTAAAACCTTGCAAAGGAATAATGGATAGTGCTGGAACTGCAGGATAATGTCCATCTTGTGCGTTATTCGAAGACGGTTCGTTTGGAACCACTTTCATACCGGGTAAAATTTATTGTTTATATATAACAGGCTGGCGTTACCGACGTTGGCTGTAACATATTGTGTTATTATATAATTACGGTATGCTAGTCCTATAATTATAATCCGTGGCGTGGCTAACAGACTGTGACTAATAGCGATGTTGGCCGTAACATATTGTGTTGTATCACACCAGCTTGCAAGAACCTGCTACTTCTCATCGCTGGAACAGCTCTATCCGTTCTCTTGTCCAAATTGAATATAATAATTAAATTTCATGCAGTGTCAGCCTTGTGTAGTGACAGGTATTTGCAAGCAAGGGTAAGTACCGTCCTGGACCATGATACAGTGTAAAAGAATAATTTGCTTCGCATATTTCCTTATACCGTAATATTATTTAACTTCAGGGCTAATCATATTAATTATATAATTTTTCATCATTGTCAGAAGGATCAAAGATGGAAAGTAGCAGTCATGATTTTATTATTGCATCGAATGATGACGGCAATAAGTATCAATTTATAATTACTTTGTTTACGCAGTTACTCAAAAGTTACTTGAAATTGATTTTATTTAAGTACGGAAATACAGAGTATGCAATAACTATGCATTCATCTTTCATTATAATTTACGCTGCATATCTATAGACTTGAATCAAACTATTATACGTAAACTATAATTTAAGATACTGCAACTACTTTGTATGATTATACTTTATATCGTGTGTAGAGTGATAATTATTCTCAATAGTTACTTTATACCTTATTAGTACGATTAAGAATATTTCGAATAACTGTTGCGAGGTTATCTGCACATCGTCGATCGAATCGAAAGAATAGTTCAGGCTCTAGTAGTTCGATCTCCGTTAAAAATAATTGATTTTGAGAGTCGTATATAGCATCTACTCGAGCGTAAGCCGGTTTAGTCCTGCATTTCTCCACAACATTTTCGGCAAAGTGACGTTCTTGATCCGATGCAGTATACGGAAAGACATACCCTCCATAGTCGTCTTGAATCTTAAATTCTCCTTTTTTAGCTACTTTAAGTACACTATGAGTTAGTTTGCCATCGATGACCATGAAGGACATTTCGCCTTTTGTAGTGTAAGTTTCCATAAATGGCTGGGCAAGCAATTCTTTCTGTGATATTAAGTCTGTGAGAACACTGTTGTATTCATCGATTTCATCGCGTTTAATCTTGAAAGTATTTTTGGCAGTTGCTGACACAGCCGGTTTAATAACTATCGTTTGTGTTTGAAGTTTATTAAAAATATTATCCGCATTTTTGAGATCAGAATTGTTCAATTTTATCGTTTCCACGATAGGAATTTTCTTTTCTTGTAATTCAAATAAGTAATTTTTGTCTATATTCCACAAGCATAGATCTGCTGAATTAATTAAAATGGTCTTTTTCTCTACTGTACGTATCCAATTTTCAAAACTTTCCAAGTTATCGATATAATTCCATGTAGAGCGAATGATCGCGCAGCGTACAGTCTCCCATTCGAATGGAATATCCCATGCAACACGTATTGCAGTTAATCCCACATTTCTTAAGCAATGGATGAGTAAGCTTTCTTCATATCTGGTCTGGATACGTGCAAAATCATCATCTGGTATATCCTGAAATCGGCTACTGTTGCAAGATTCGGTTACAATGGCAACGTCAATCATCATTGACAATTTATCTTTTTTAGCTCTACGCGTATTTCACAATCAAAACACTACAGTATTGCTCTAGTTCAACAAGAACGCGTCTAGAAATCATTCAACTGCGAGCAATCGTACAGTACAACAGAGGATTAGCAGTTTATTTCATTTATTCTATAGCACAGTTCACTTTGCAGACAACTTGACGGATACTTGGTTGCACACAGTAAGTCAAAAAGTAGATCATTGGAGTTTTGCTGACTGGTGGCTAACAGTAGCTAGGGACGACAACTAGTCGTGCCCAGCGGGAAGGAAAATGGATCACGATGAACTCTGCATAGCTCATACAGTACAATATGGAGCTTGCTGCCACTATTGTTATACAAAATACAGTACAGTATTGCATAAAGTTGCATCACTTGCTTTTACTATGACAACATACAGTACGTACAGTACCGTAAGCCTCAACGGTACAGTACTCGAAAATTGAATGGAATACTGTACTGTGGCCGACAACTGAGCGCTGACCACGCTGACAATATTCTGAGTACTATATATTCACTGCCACCAGCCTCCTGTAGTCTTGGCAATCTTCTAGATAGATCGAGTGACATGATTTATTAGGGATTTGTGGATGTCCGACAGACAGGTTAGGAAGACATATATCTAGGAGTACATATCTTCCTAACCTATCCAATTATATATGATTATATTGATTTAAATTATTGTTCTTAATTGATAATAAATAGTGAGTCTATGTTGTCATGTACTATAGATTGTTATGCTATAATGTTTATTGCCATGTACGATCGGACAGGTTAGGAAGACATGTATCTTGGGGAGTACATGTCTTCCAACTTGTCAGATTATATTTATTTAATAATAAAATAATTGTTCGTTATTACTAATCAATAAATGATGAGCCTATGTAGCCATGCAGATTGTTATGCTATAATATTGATTGTAATGTGGATACTAATATCAGGAAGATAAATTTGGGTTTGCTCATTTTACTGATATACTAAGTACCGTATTTTGTGAACATGAGGAATTAATTGAGGTTCATTAAATGCAAGCTGTGCGAGCTGTACTTACTGGATATCATTAGTGCGATTTTACCAGCACAGTCACAACGGCTGTCTGACAAACAGTTTCATCGATCTGCAAGATCCGCTCAGATGATATTTTCATCGCCAATACTGTTTGCATGCATGTTAGTGAATAAATGGCCTGTATTGATGAATGATGAAGTCTTTGACTAGTTATAACTTTCGCAATCGTCATAAATACAACTGAGTCCTCTAGAAGTATGGCAATACTCATACCATGATATTTACTGTACTGCATAAGTGCATATTAGTGCTCTGTAATCCCACTTGGACTAAATCTCACTAATCGTTACTACGTGTACAGTGCATTTATTCATAACTTCGGTACAATCGGATACTCAAATTATTTTATGGGTGACCAATATACATGCTCGTATAGAGTGTAGATAAATAGTAATAAAATAAAATTATAATCATTCATTAACTGTGAGTCAGTGATAAATTAGACAGTAAAGTACAAGTACTGTACGAGTGTACAGACGAGTATGATATAGTTACTGTAGTAAGCGAACGTATGAGCGCATGATAAATCAGCACTTACTTCCAAACCTGCTTCGGGGTTTTATTGCACATCTCAATCAAGATGCAGTACAGTACTATACTATTAAGCATAGGAGTAACGATCTCAGTTTTGCTATTATTATACATGAATTCGAAATCGTTACACCGATAATTGCAAGATTTCAAGACATTACTTGGTGAAAACAGGATTTTTACCGAGGATAGTACATCAATTAGGCCATTCTTAATTAAAATATATAGCAACAACGATATCAGATAATGATAAGTAGATAACCATTGCAAATTTGAATAGACCTGAAACGTATACAGTACATACTCAGCAACTACTGTACTGAACATACGTGGAGATGGTACAGTAGTACAGCAAATTGTAACTATGTAGTAACGAATTCAAAGCAAAGACATACAAAAATACATTGTATCTAATTATTGTTCTGTATTCTGCAACTTCCAACTACCAGTAAATTATGCAGTATTAAGCAGAGTTATAAGCTTGAATAATGAACTTATAAGATAATGATATAATTGAGGAAAACATAATAACGTGAGACAATACTGGCTGCAATGCATATGTTTCGAATGGCGACGTATGGCATAGTACCATCAGTAAGCCATCAGTCAGTTACTTCACATCACCGGTTACTGCAGTATAGTGTTCATCAGTGCGCAATGGCTTTACATACAGTAGTTGCAAGAAAGACCTATCCGTGCAGCATTGCATGCTGATTCAATCCATTTTACTAAATATTCTGCTTTACAAGGTATTACATATGTGTCAATCAAATTGTGTTATCACTTATTCATCATCTACTACAACTGTATCACTACTTCATAACCCCTATTTGCAAAATCGGAAAGCCGACTATTTTACAAATAGAAGAAAAAATTTGTCGCTATTAAAAATTGCAACTAACTATGAATGCATTTATTTTTGAGGTTGTCCACTTTCCAGTCCTAATTGCTTGAACATACATTCATCATAAGCACGCTGAGAGGGCCGACAATATTCAAATTCGTGATTATTGTGATCTAAGCAAGTCCAGTGTTTAGTAAAGTCTTCTCTACAACTGGCGTTGACTTTTTTAAAGAATTCAACAGCACATTCGCTTACGCGGCGTCCTTGAGGCAAGCACTTTCTTGGATCGGTGGTTTCGTAGCGACATAACATAAATTCGTGGTTGGGCTTGTCACAATAATTTCCATAATGGTACGCTGCTGCGGCGAGTACGGCCGACGTTACATTGACTTCTTCCACTACCAAGTCTGACACTGGAACATCTCTTGTAGAACTCATAACGACTATTTCAGATCTTGACACAGCTAAATCACTCTTTGCTGTACGTTAGGCTTGTTCAGTATAGCACATAGGTTTAGAATGAACGACAGCATCCAATGAAGATACTTTATTCCCAACTTTGCGCTGCTCTCGATTGCAGACCAGATTCTCAAGATGGCACTCGAAAGCGAGCGTTCTCCAAAGACAAGCGTGACGATGTCTGCATCACTGTGTGCACTGCAGTGCCGTAGTTTCCACTGTACAATGTACCCTGTAGAGGCCAGGACTACAGTACTGTACTGTACTGTACAGTGCAAGAGGTAAAAGGAAAAAATTCCACATGAAACTGTACTGTACTGTACAGTACTGTACAGGGTTAGGGTTAGTACTGTGTAATTTGTAATTGACATACTGTACTGTACTGTACACGCTGTAGGATTCTGAACCCAACACGCTAACATACTGTACTGTACTCGAACTGACGCCTGCGCACTTTGTCACTAAGAGTTTGTTGTAAATACAGTACAGTAGATTATGCAGTTGCAGTGTTGCACAAATCCGTACAGTACTACTACACGGAGAAAGGATTCTGAACCCAACACGCTAACATACTGTACTGTACTGTACTGTACAGTACACAACGTACAGTACAGTACAGTACTGTACAGTACATGTACGGTACTGTAGCCCTTATTACTGTACTCGAACTGACGCCTGCGCATTTTGTCACCAAGAGTTTGTTATTGATAAATTATGCAGTTGCCATAATTACGGTGGAGGAAAAAACTTCAGTTTGGTGTCTGCTCGCTCTTGTGCGTGAGAACTGTATAATGAATCATTTGAATCATCAAGTTAAAATAGACAGTACTCACAGTAGCAGGCTAACTGGTCGATGGCAATACGTGTATATCCTTTAGTGATAGGATAGACAAACTGTCAAGTAGAATAAGTTGGTTCTTGCAGACGCATTGTACAGTATAGTTAGTAGACGTATACGTATTATCATTGAAAGTAATCATCACACAAAAATAGTAATAACGTCTTTTATGACGTTGAATGGTGAAAATTATTAGTTTCTCTCCAAGTTCTGTTACTAGCGAACATATTAGAAAAATTGGGCTCCAAGGCTTATAGCTGAGTGAAGAACTTAAGGTGATAGAGTAGCTAGCATTCAACTCAAAGTATTATTCAAAAAGATTGATGTTGATGCTACCATTTGGGAGTCACGACATATTTGGCGATAAAATATTCGGCGGCTGATCGTTCCATTTATTGTTCAAATAACGCGAAAAGAAATAGCTACGGCAATTCTACAATCTACGCTGCTGGTAAAACCAAAATTCCGTGCAGATTGCTTTATTCTCAGTTGGCAAGTTGATATCACTAGCTAAGAAATCGAGATAGCTGATACATCACCTTGAATGATCGATATTTATATGCTTTGGCAATTGCATCACATTGGCCTGAAACAGCATATCAGTAATTAAACAGCTTTGGGCAATCGCTCACCAGAAGTTAGCAAATTAACATATTCCTAGTACAAGCTCCCATAAGTGTTTGAGTAACTACTTCTTGGACAAATCAATTGAAAAACTTAAAAATTTTACGGTATTTAAAATGGACGAGAAAATTTGCGATAAAACAAAGGATACGTTAGGAAAAATTATCAAAAAGCCACCATTAACAACAAAATTACTTAGTAAACCCCCTTTTCGATTCCTACATGATATATTGACGGAGGTCGGTTTTACTTTATTTAAATTACATTTAATTTTAAGTTCATTCCATTGGTTTTTGCCAGAATTTTTCTTTCTACTTTAGAGCAACCACATTATAATTATAATCAAGTGATTTTCTCAACCGTCTTCTAAAATTTCTAATATTGGAGTATAGGTAATTCGGACAACTGGCTTTATGGAAGGTTTATATACCAAAGATGAGATGAATTCTCAAAATGTTAAGGTTATTTGATATAATATAGTTGTTTCTTAAAAATATCCGTTAGTTGCAAGGTTACAGGATATCGTCATGCATTTAAACTTCGAGTAGAACGACTATTGGTTGCAGTCTTTTACGTTTCTCTAAGTTCCCCAATTTTTATTTGAATATATTTGGCGTTGTATGCGAGGTGATAGTACTGCACCTGTTGACTTGTAAACTTCTTTCATAGGATAAAGATAGCAAAATGGCCTTCCTACAAAAAGCTGTGGATTGTATTTGTAAGTAATATATGTTGCAAATATTAGTGACGTACGGACTATTAAGTTAAGGTTGATATTAGCAAATTTTGGGCATATCTACTTTTTCTTTCCGTTGTATATGTGCGATCTTTGTGAAACTAAAATATTTAATCATTGTTGGTTGTATAGGCCATGTTACACACCAAAATTTATCAGTAAAGCCATCTAAAATTGTGTCCGGTCACGAGCCAGAAAAAACTAATGAACTTTTACAAGTTATGGCTTTGGCTATAAGTAATAAGGTAACAACACTTTACTGCCAAGAAAATTATTGCTTCTTACTCAAAATAGGAATAGTACGTAAAATATGATTGCATATGAAAGCAACTTTGAAATATGTTCATGTTCTAGACGGATAGCTCTGATGCTGTTAAGAAAGTTTTATCTGGTGTGAAACCGTCGAGGGTATCTTCGGGGTAAAATATGAAATACTCATTATATTCTAATTAATCTAAAGATTCTAGTATTGTTGCTAAAAATTTACTGCATAGGTGCTAATGTTGATATTGTTCGTATAGCAAAAAAAGGGAAGGAGGTTCAGGTAAATCAAGTCGTTCTAAAGAAAATGATGTCCGACAATCCAGTGCCGAACGATCACAGAAAGAAGTACGTTGTTTAAAAGATAAGGAATGTTTCATTGTCGTCTATACGTGCGCCTTATTAAGTTTTTCATTATAATTTTGGTAGCAAAAGAACGGTAATCAAGAAAATATACCTAGTCATACTGAAAATGAAGAAAGATCTAGAAAAGAAAGACACACGCCAAAGGAAGAGAAGAAAGCTGAAAAAGAAGACAATTCAAAGGTATTAATTTGGATTGAACTAAGTAATTAGTATTTAGTCCGTACTACAATATATTCTTATCGTTACCTATATCTATATGTGTACTACATGTCATGTTACGCACGCATTAATGTAATTAGATGCTATAATAATTAATAATAAATAACGGTTATTGCTAGCAGAGGGTTCCTCACGATGAAGAGGTTAAAGGCAATGATCCGGCACCAGTTGAACAGGATTCTCGGGGAAAACAGGTTAATTTTGATTTAGATTTATAAAAAATGGGAGGCATCGGTGCGTCTCACCATTCTTGATAGAGGTGATGATAGGTGATAAAAATGAAGACCTTTTTGATAAATAATTTAGAATGATGTTCCGCCAGAAGCTGACCAACGTCCATCTTCACCAAAAGGATCTCGGGCTACCAGAGAAAAACTGGATGACGGTATATCTCATATTTCTTGTATCTACTGATCAGAAAAAAAGTCTCTCTAATTAACTATTGTAGACAACCTCTCTAAATTTATATTATAGAAACAAACGATAAAGCTCTACGCAAGCCTCGCTCTGGTAATTTGTTTTTACAGTTTTAATGTGGTGGTAAATGTTTTCTGGCACCATATTTGATTTAGCACTGCATAAAAAATGCTATATTGCAGCGAGCTTATAAAGATGATTGACTGTTTTTATTGATATAGCCTATAATAATGTACTTATATAATATTAGCCAATAAGGATACAACAGATGGGCCAATCAGATCTGCAAAATCCGATCGGCAACGATTAAATGGAGCGATGAATGAAAATGATGAAACTCCTGTGCCCCGTGTTTATAGCGGGTAAAGCATGTTTTTGGCGGAACTTTTCAATTAATACCTCCTATTATCATACGAGATATCTAACGTAATGAAACGAAATTAATTTAGTCACGTAGAACGACCTAGTAGTGCAAGACCTGCACCACCGAGGCCTCGGAAGCCTGGTTCTGGAGATGATCGTACTAGCCGGTACAGTTTTGAATTACCTTTCAGTTCTATTTTCCTACGTATGGTTTTATATAATTTTATTTATATTTTATGGTATTAATGTTTGCTAAATACTTTAGGAATAGCGGTTCTGCAAAAGCTGTTGCCAATGTCATTGTTGATAATGGCAATGAACAAGAGTCAGAAGATGAAACATTTGTCGTAGAAGAGACACAACCTACTATTATAAAGGTTAATCATAAAACTAATTTTTATTGTGCTGGACGCTAAATTTTCTATGGAGGCTTGTGCCATATAAAACATTTAAAAGAATACTGATAGCCGTCATGTTTTTAATTTAAGAATACATGTACAAAGAGTATAGTATGTGTTAGAAATATTTTACTTGCAATGTATTTTGAGTATATATTAAGTGTGTGTTGAGCAGTGAATTTTATATTGAACTGTAAACAGGATGAGCAAGTTGTAGACAATATAGAAATTGAAAATGAAGAACACGGTGGGCTTGTAAAAAAGATTTTAGAAACAAAGAAAGAACTCGAGAAGAAAGGGCCTAAAGGACCTGATACGGTAATCAACACATTTAAGAAAGTTTAGTAAGGAAGTGGCGCATCTAGATGTATTCTTTCTATATTATTTGCACATTATTACAAATGATAAACCTAAAATTCTTTGTTTTGACAGTCCAAATCCATTATACCAGATGCAACTAGGAAGAAGGAAAGGGAATTAGTGGAGAAAGAGGTTTGTTAATTCGATTTGCAAGAATTTAAGATATATGATATTTTTAAGTAATGTTATGATGATTATTAAACTAGATTGAAAAGCTGAGAGTCACTATTCAGAATTTATGCCGAAGTGCTAATCCATTAGGTAAGATTATGGATTACGTGCAAGAGGACATTGACAGCATGCAGAAAGAATTAGAAACGTGGAGATCAGAAAATACCGATCATGAAATGGCTCTAAAGCGCGAGAGAAAGTAATACTGTTATTCCGAAAGCTTATTAATTTTAGTATTTGGAATACTTTCATTTCATGTCTAAAGCGTTTGAAAGCTAACGATTGCTTATTCTATTTTTGTTTAGTGCATCTGAAACTGCGATTGAACCATTAAAATCACAACTGAAAGAGATTGAATTAGGCATAGCCGATAAGGTATAACTATTTTTTTCTGGCGAATACTTCTGATTATACAGCATGTTACGACATGGGAATTGTCATCTTTAAATAGATTGATTGCCTAGATGGCTTACACATACAGTATGTATCACTGCTATGCGAAATTGTCAATCTTGCATTGCTGTGAATTATAATATTTATTGGAGGATATATTTTTTTATCAGATTGTTGATTTAATTTTTAGTAGTTTGATATATTTTACTCTTTCGCTGTGCAGTATATTTGTAGAAATAAAAAGACTTTGCAGTGAATAGGAATGCTTAGCCTACGAATTTAGTATGTAGTTAAAGTAACGATGGTAGTTGCAATTCGTTGATTGAACCGTAAAAATACTATATTTATAAAATTGTTAGGCGTTAATACTACAGTGTTTTAAATATATACTAAGTTAGTCCCCGTATCATAAAGTAAACCTAACTAGGCAAATCGTACAATACTACGATTAAACTAGTGCTCTATAATAATTGAAAAGTATGGATTAAGAAGTGGCAAGATTTTCGTGTTCAATTTGTTATTTATCATTCGTTTCAACTAAAATCGATTTTTATTTGAAATCCATTCCAGATTGAGCTTATTAGCACCGTAAAGGCCAATATCTTGAGAAATGAAGAAAAAATGCAGAAAATGATTAATGGGATATTTAGTTCTAGGTCGTAATTGTTTATAAAATAGTAATTATTCTTATTGGTATTAAAGGTCCTAATTTGGGATATCGTTGTGACATACATACAGTACATGCTATAGCTGTTTAGTAAGCGCGATCGTAAAGATTGATCACAATCGTTCATTTTTGATCCTGTACAGATAATGTAATTTATGTGGCCACTCTGTATTGCAGTTAAAAGTAAAGTTGGTATTTGTAACTTTTGACGCATCCGAATGGTCAAAGTTTCCTTGTATTGTCGATTGATTGATTGATGTTGATGTACCTACTGTCCACTTACGTAATGTAGCACTGATTAAAGTTGTAGTTATGGAAATTGTATCATGGCCGTTTTGATGATGGAATTGTACTATGGACTGGCAAGTTTGAGATATGTTGTGAATAGTATCCTATTGATTGCAACCAGAATGATTTCACTATTTCACTTTCATCGCAGTAGGTATTGACTAGAAGTCCAAGAATTGACCCAGTTGGTACGTGCAGTACAGTACAGTACTACAGTGTACAGTATGTAGAAATGCTTTTTTCACAACTATACTGTACAGTTCCAGATTCTGCGCTGTAAAAAAGTTGTCGCTTTCGGGCCACCGTAGTGTACTGTACAGTACTGTACTGTACATACAGTCCACAGCGCAGTACTGTACACTGTAGTGGAAGGTTGACATGTCCGTCCGTACTGTACCTCCAGTGTTACGCAGGAACATCAGTAGATTCAGTTCTGTAGCACGTACAGTACAGTACATACTGCTCTCTGTGTGGATTCTACTGTACTGTACTGTACAGTATACTGTAGGACTGTAGAAATTCTTTTTTCACACCTGTACAGTACAGATTCTGCGCCGTAAAAAAGTTGTCGCTTTCAGGCCACCGTAGTGTACAGTCCACAGTACTGTACACTGTAGTGGAAGGTTGACATGTCCGTCCATACCGCACCTCCAGTGTTACGCAGGAACATCAGTACTGTAAGTTTTGTTAGTTCTACTGCACTGTACAGTACTGTACACTGTAGAGTACAGTACAGTACTGTACTCTACTCCTCTCTGTGTGGATTCTACTGTACTGTACTGTATAGGACAGTAGAAAAACGCGGGCAAATCAAAATAAAATAAAACATCGAATGTATACGAGCGGGTTGAAGTTAATAAGTGTACGCGGACAGTAAATCTGTTTGCATCGTGACGGCACCCAAGCTGATAGGGATTGACTAGCAATTATAAGGTTAAAAAGTCAGGCTTAATCGTCTTGAAAATCATCATTTATTGTGGTTAAAATCAATTCAACTTGACTTAATACAAGATTGTGGAAAAGACGAAGGTCATCGTGAGACTACTGTTGGTATTCGATTGTCCTACATGCTTGGATAACTTTCTCATTCGTCGTCATTTTCGTCGTTGATTTAGCCATTATTATTACGCTTGTGCAACTGAAGGTGTCGTCTACTGGTGTTACTCCAGTTGCAGCCGATTGCACCTGAATTATTAAAAGGCAAAGCTTACTGCTTGTATAGGATACATTGAATCATCAAGAAATGGCTCCAACTGCCATCTTCTTGTCATAGTTCTCTGGATTGCTTTTACTCCATTACTACAACGTTCTTGATATTTCCAAAGAGTTTGAAGGTAGGTTTGATGATGGCACCAGTGTTGTTTGCTTTGAAGATCGATCTTTAATTGGTATCCTAAGTTAGTATCCCAATAATCATTTCACATTAATCTTATCCAGTGGAACCTTACAGTATATCGTATTGAATCTTTGTTATTACTACGTTACATCGTATTAGAAAGGGGGGGGGGGGAGGAGAAAAATAGTGCAGCACTGTCTTGAAAGCCGATATAGTACTAATAAGTGAATCAGATTGGCTGCTTCCAATATTGCTGGAATAAACTCAGGAAACCGTTTGTAGCTGGTGTATAGTGGTATAGTGTAGTATTTTGCATAGTGGATAGCATGCACAGTATTTCTAGGAAAATTGGAGGATAACCGCGTATCATCGAGTAAATAGTACTGATTTGAAACGGTTTAATACTGTCTTGTATCTTAGTGACTACCCGTTGTTGTTATACTGTATACTTGATAATAACGCTAGGGAAAAAATGCGAAGAAAAAAGAATAAAAGTGATGTCCTTTTTCTCTTCTTTTTATACATATTATTCTTTCATGATGAGCAACGTAATTATGTGAGCACATTATGCTATGATTATTGATTGTTAAGAAGAGGATTAGACGCGTTGTACATTCCATTGGAGTTCTATATAGAGCGTAAAAAGAGTAATGCGTTGAAGTTATGCACTGACAGAGGACAGGAATGGAAATAAATTAATCGAATTGAATTATTCTCAGTCTTGGGTAGTTACAAAATGGTAACGGTATCTACGTATGAAGACAATAACTACAAAGACTCAACTGTACTTTACTGTCGTTATTTTGAGAGAATGTTTATACGGTTAATTTGGGGGAGATTAAATGACTACTGATTTAAAAACAAGGAGACCAATAGCATTTTGAAAGCGTATGATCACACCGCATGGTAGTATTGAATATCTACAGTGAAAGTATTTTTAAAAAATAGCAAATGAAGTACGATTTGATCGATAGAGTGTATACCTTAGTGACATCCTAAATGCTTGTACTTTATTAAATAATAATAATAATTAGAGAATGAGGATATCAACTAGAGATCTTCAAGGTCATGTGAAGCGTACGGTCGAGATTGGCATTATAATTTTATGTTTACGTAATCCTACTCAGAACTTTTTAGATCCTCTCAGGCGATGTCATCAACTTACTCAGTAGCCTACTATACAGTGTTAACACACGTATTAACTGTTACCAATGCAATATTTTATGCAAGTATAGGTCAGAGAATTTACATCGAAGATTAGGATTGAACTATGGCTTCATTACATCAAGACTTTCTGAAATTGTGCCAAAACGGAGCTGATAGCGTAAAATTCACCGATTTTATGATCCGCAATGTAAGGGTGTACAACGATAGTGTTGCGGTTACAGTTATTTACAGTAGCGCGATAAATTCTTGACGACCAATGTGCTAATATATTTTGTAGTAAATTAGTCAATGTTAGCGATTCAATTTATTATCATAATAAGAGATTGTGGATAAATCTAATCTGATAAGGTACCCTACACATTATCATTATATCATAATTACAGCAAATTCGAACTGTACTGTTGTAGCCTTTATAATGTTATAACATTTCTAGCTACACAGCTACGATAGTTTATAATTATGTATTTCCTATCGTTATTTTGTCCCCACTTATGTGACATAGAATATGAATTGATAAATTTTAGGATTTACGCCAATTTAACATGAATTCTCGCTTTGTAAAGTTGATAATAAATTATAGCGCGATCTAATAGAAATATAATATTTACAAGTACATTATTGTTACTGTAGATAATGTAATAATGAAATATGATTTGATTTTTATTATTTCGCTAGTGTAAGCGTAACAGTTCTTTCAGTTTGCCGGAAGTACTTCAAGAGTTAAACAAACAAGAATCGAATCAATTGTGGAAAGGGATATTGGGTATTTGCAATTCTGTCCTAGGTAATTTTCATTTTGAATTGGCAGAAAATGAATTTTTTGAGCAGGATTTGCAGGTATGTTGTTAAGTATAAGAATTAAATGCACATGAGCTATGATAATATTTAGTACAAATTTAATCGTGAGTACTACTGTAAAGGAACAGTTTACACCACAGTTCGCTACTTAATTATGGAAATCATCTGATATTTTTTATGTTGTTAACTCTATTGCATCGATTATCTTGGAAGTCACAGTCATTATCGATTGTAGTGATTCAATAGTCTTATTGGCTACAAATTTTTCATAGTTTTATTTCTATAATTTAGGATCGGATGGGTGCTGTCGATTGTTTGCAAGAAGTTACCAAAGTTATTAATGCTGCTTTACAAATCAAGACAGACAAAGATGGTATTGAGCCTTCGTTGCATGAGATTGCTTCAATACTACACGGTAATTGTTGAAGCTTAATTGCTTTGGTAAATTTTACAATTATAGCAAGTAATACTGTAGTGCAATTATTATGAGGTACACACGTCATTTCGATGCCTTTAAAATATTCTGAAAAATGCTGGAATGCATAATAGTACTGCAATCTATGAGATCATTACATTTTAAATGGCTTTGCTGATTCTTCATATCATTGAGATGATCTTAGGTCAGTGTTTTATAATTTAACATGTAGGTATTTTAATGTCACTTCCGGAAGCCGCGATTACTTTACAAGATAGTATTTCACGGATCTGCGAATTGTGGTATGAGATATTCTAATGCATTATCATTGTTGAAAGAAATAGATTTTCAATCTTAACATCTATTATATGATCTATTAGGTGGAGTAAAGACTTTAGTGCTAAGGAGGAGCTGATTCCTCATATGGTTCCATATCTGTTAATGAGATGCTTACAGCCTGATGCCGTTTTGAAGGATATCAAACGTTTATGGCAAATACGCAATTGTCTCCTGCTGTTGGATTATGATGATCCATCAGCAGATTCTACAAAGCTATTGTTGCTACGCTGCTATATGCAACCGTTATTTTTGAAAACTGATGAGGTAGAAACTCAAATTCAATAAATCGTGTTTAAATATCCACAAGAAATTGTAAATTTTAGTAGTAGCCGTAGTAATGTAAGATGATACTAACCCATACTTAAACTGCCTCTTTATATTGCTAATTACTCTTTATAGATACTTCTGTAGCTTTCATTGTGGTTATTAAATTTTAATAAATGAATGAGTGTATTGGCAATAGACATAACAGGATTAATTATATTTCGAAAGGACTTTATTTGAAGATATTCATAACTTAGTTTTGATTAGTATTAATAATTATTCACGGTTAGTACTATTTTTCCTGTAGGGTCGTCGCATCTTAACTTATACATTTGGTTTACATGTTCCATTGATTGAAGACATTCATGCTACTATTAAAAATAACATACCATCATCTTCAAGGTAAAATTTGAAATTTTTAGGAAATTTGTTTAAGATCTTTGAACTCCGCTGATTACCCTTCTGATATTTGACCATGCAGTTTGTCGTTTTATTTACCAATCATTACTGTAATTACGCAATTGCTAACTGCCTGTACTGTACACTGCAAATATATTATGCATGTTCTGAATTATATCAATTTTTTAGTTACTGTTTATATAATTTAATAAAAACATTGAATGATAGAGTATCTAGTATTTATTAATTGATTATTGTATTAATTTAAGATCACTTCAAGAATATTATGGGGAAGTTTATTTTCGGGCATGGCGCTCTTCTTCTGGACCGTATCGCGAAAAAATTGAAAATTTCTGCATTCAAGATTTAATGCATCATGCAATTCATGCTAGAATAAGTAGGCCATCGATAGCTGCTGCTCTGAAAAGGGTAATGACAAGTTAAATCGATATGTTATCTATTTAAACATTTAGGAATGCAGGTGTAGAATAGGACCACAGATAAAATTTTATAGACAAATTTAAAGTGCTCAATCTACTCTTCATCAGATTTTAGATCAGTTTCATCGTGAAAAGAAACAAAGCGGTGTCGATAAAATGTTACTTACGTTATATCAACCAATAATTTGGCGTTCTTTGAAAGTTGCTAACGCTATTGTTAGAGCTAATGCGGCGGCCTTGTTATTTAGTGCATTTCCATTGCATGATCCTGATGGCGCCAATGAGGACATTGATATTTTAATGCAACGTCAATTTGACGCTTTTGCCGTTAGTGCTTCTTTCAATTATTTATTATATCGTTGTTATTGAAATTTTAGTTTTGGATCAATAATTACTTGATTGTTTTAGGATTTATTACAAGATCCATGTCCCAATGTTCGTGAGGTTACAGTTAAGGGTGTTTGTCGCGCTATTAGCATATTTTGGGAGTTGATTCCAATCGGCGTACTCAATTCATTGTTGAACAAACTTGTCAATCAGCTTGCAAATGATGGTTCATCAACAGGTGTTCGCTGTGCAGTTATTAAAGGCCTGTCTTTTATTTTGGATAACCATCTAAGTCAACCTTCCTTGAAAGCTTTATTACCGAAGCTAACAAATCATATTCACGATTTTTCTGAGCGTGTTCGCCTTGCATTTATTGATCTTTTGATTCTTGTAAAAGGTTCACTTGGAATTAAGGTCAATATAAAATTCATTATTAATCGGTAGATTATTGTAATTATCGGCTGATTGAATATATAGTATTACTTCAATTACTTTTCTATGATTTTTTTATAACTGCTTCTTCGTACTTGTAATGATAGTTTTGGGAAATTGTTCCTAGTGAACATTTATTAGCTCGTCTTGAAATGGATACATCTGAAGTAGCTGGAAAAATTGTAGAATTACTATTTAATTCGTTTATTCCGCTAACTAGGGGCGAAGATGTTCAGGTTTGTGGTATTGAAAAATAATTAACTACAGATCAGTTTTGTCTGCATATTTTAAATTATTTATATAGCAGATTATAAGTCTTGTATTTAAAGTTGTATGTATTTACTGGAAATCTCATTTATTGTTGATAGATAACTAGATGCGTAACTTTATTACGCACTAATTCCAATGCTGCACGTCGGTTTTACCAATTTGCAGTTCGTTATATGTCTGTCGACGCAACTGGTAATTTATCAACTGTATATTTGATGTTCAGAATTGGTAAAAATCAATTAATGGTTTATTTTGATATTACGGTATTTAGGAAAATATATTATAACTCTATGTCGTTACGTGCTATCTTGCCTCGAGTCGGATTTACGTCAACAAGATGATAATATGAAAGAGAATGTGCGAGATCATAATGTAGATAATGGAATGGAAAGTGAAGTAAATGACGAAGTGAACGATGAAAAAATAATGCAAGGTTTAATGGAAACTATCGCAATTCTATGGACTCAAATTTATAATGAATTGCAAAAGGTTAAAAATATTTACCATTATCTTGTATGATTTCTTGTTTACTATTTCATTGTATATTGATTCAAACTGCTTTTTTTGATAGCCTGTAAATGAAAATATATGTAATAAACTTAAGATGAAATTTGGCAAGGCTTTACCAGTGCTCTGGACTGCTTTTAAGGTATTTTAATTGGGTTGATGGCTTTAAATGATAAAGTTTATTAATGATAATTGTTAATACGGAGCGTATGTTAAGGAAGTTTTATTTATTTTTATTTATACATAATTGAAATGCTAATATCTAGTATACTATAATAGACTAGTCCTTCTGCGGCTGCAACTATCACTATTGCAGGTTGCTTACCAGCTACTCAAGTCTCGGAACTAAGGTTTGAATGAAGTTCATTTTTAGCTTTCATTCCCGGTCATAACTTAATTGTTATTGTGATTGATTTCTTTTATTAGCCAAGATTGCTATGATGATTTAGTTTCGGTATCCAATGATGCTCTACTGGATAATTTTAACCACTATGTTAGCAGTTTATGTATGTGGGGTCGATGTGATGTTATTTTAGAGCAAATTATGCGTTGGCTGCAGTTCGAAATTTCTAGTAAAGATAAAGCCGTACATGAAGCACCTGTAGGTGTAATCATACAATTATTAATTATGATTTAACGAAATTACACTGTCGCTGTATATTTTTATTGTTATCTGAAGTTATTGCTATTTTTTATTTACGATAGTCTAAGAAAAAGAAAAGATCTAGAAAGACTGCATTACACAATGCAGAAAAAAAACCAGAGTTAGCTTTGCGTATTCTAGATTTTATGATGGTAATAAGAGTCATGATGTTTGCCTTTTCGTAATATTAGAGTAGCATTTTAGCAGTTTATGAACTTTCTCATAACAAAATTTCTTTCCAGAGAGATGCTAAGTGTCGCCCTTGGATGCTTGCACGCCATGACAGATTACGTCCTGTTATTGAAAGGTTGAAACTAAGTATGGTAAGTACTGTATTAATAAGCATTTAATGACATAGAGTGTCAAATTTTTAGCTAATTTGTTATTATTTTATAAATATTCAAGGATAATATTGAAAATGTCTTCAAGAATTCGACAAGTAATAATGATGGTTTCCGAGAGTCATCGATCTTTAACCTTAAATTTGGTTTTGAAATATATCACCGATTACTTATTCACTTAGCTTTTGAGGTATAAAAAAATATGAGATCCTAGCGTTGATCTTTTGATTTCTCAGTAAATTGTTGCAATATGCTTTCATGGAAATATTTAGGAGCGGAATAATACCAGTCCTGCACTCTTTCTACGGGATGATGTTTGTGATATGCTATCTTGGGTTAAGCGAGTTATCTTACCTAACGTTGAAGCTGTAAATGATAAGAGTGAAGACGATGACACTAGTAATAAGAAACGAAGTAATTCATCCAAAGTAACTGAAGTAAAAACCGATTTAGGGATTGGTATTTTGGAGGTGTGATATACTATAAGTATCACGCATTTCGTTTAATAAAATAATATCTTCATATTAATAATGAAATGCCGTAATAGTTATTTGCATAGCATTTACGTGAAGCATCTATTGGGTTTTAAATTTAATCGTTTAGGTTGCGATGACTATCGTACATGATGCCTTAGTGTTCACACCTATAAATGTAAGACTAGCTGGGGATGTCATTCAAATTTTAAAACAAACAGTTACAAAAGGTTTGTGCTGTACAACTTAGCTTGTATTTCAGCTACGAGATATGTAATGGAACGTCAGGGAAATAAATTTCAAGTTTTGTCTCTAATTTGTAGTGGCAAGCAACCGTCAAATTTTTTTACAATCAGTAAAAATTGTTTGTCACCTGGCCAGGCATAGTTTATTTTCGTACATTGGCAATGACTCTGGTAAGGATAGACTTATGTGAAGACCGAAAAGTCTTGATGTTATTAAAGGAAATATTTGCTTATGATCTTATATACTATATTGATTGCACTTACGCACCATACTTATTATCTCAATAGGCTACATAGATGTTTGCTCAAATTCTACTACATTGGAAATCGTCAAGTTTATATTAGAAACTTGGCTGACTTTATCCGAGGATAATTCGTACAAAGTTAGATTATAATTAATTGCTTACTGTGTGGATATTTTCATTCGTTATTTTCCAAATTCACTGATACTTACTCTTTATAACCGATCAGTATTGACTGTTTTGTTAAATTTTTAGGCTAGTACTAATGTGAACGGAGCAATTTCCGTTTTAATCTGGACATTAATTCGCCTCCAATGTGTCACGGATTCACCGGATGTGAATTACCTGAAATTAGTTACTGAACTTGTAATTTGTGACACACAACGCCATTTAAAAAAGGTAATCTTTTCGAATTAAAATTTACATGACGATCAAGCGTCCCAAACTGACTTTAAAATGTAATTTAGTTCTTGCAATATTTATGCTTTTATATAGCTTTGGCATGCAGATAAGTTGGAAAATTTTGAAGCAAATCTCATCAAGCCGATAGCTTCTAGCATCTTAGGAGTTTTATTTAGAAATTCTGCTGTTGAAAGGTACTACATATTGTCTAACGTCTTTATACAAGAAAATTTAATTCATTCGATTTCTCTACCTTTTATTGCGTCAGGCGCTGTGCGGAAGAAATTATACAAGCAGTAAATAGTAGCCGTATCGATTTTTGGTATTGCGCCGCTATTGTACAAATATTAAGGCAGTTTAAAAAGGGTAACTATGCTTTAGCCATTTGCAACAGTTATCTACTGCAAAGTTTTATGAACTTTGTAGTATTGATTAACGGTGCTTTGTTGTCTTTGATTGTAGACGATAGAATAATTGATGCTGCATCGAGACAATGCCTGGAACAAATACAGAATTATTTTAACAGTAGGGAACTAGGCGATGATCAAGTGAACGATTCTCGGCTTAGGCTAGTTTTATGTCTATATTTTGGATTTGATATGACAAAGTATGTTGTAACTATTATTAACCCTTTTCACAACTTGTAGGCAAGAATTAATGGATATGGTGGTGGCTAATAAGTAGTATATTGATACCTTTTGGGTCGATGATTACGTTGTATATTTTTATAGTACAATTACAAAAGTCATCATTGATGATTGATTGATGTTGCAACTACATCTTATTTGTGTTACAGTAACTATGGAGCACTTCTATGAAAAAGGATATAGTAAATCGATTGTTTTAAATGCCGCAAGTATTGTGAGAGTCACGAGTTAGAAGAATTATTGTAATAACAATATACTGTACAGGATAGTGTCTCCAGTTAATAATTAAGCAACATAATTTCATAAAGACTTTACTAAAACCGTAGTGATGTGGCTAAGGATCGACTGGATATTCAATGTTTATAGAATTTTCGATTGTAGTCTTGTTCTGATATATAGTAATTATCAATGTGTACGTATTAAGTTAGTGACTTTTACGGCTTTGTATAAGTTCATGAATTTTAATGAGTCCTGTTTAGTTTCAATTATAAATTAGCTTTCATTTAATAGTCACCTTTTTAGGCACTGTTATAAATTTTAAACTCGAGCTGTTTTTACTGATACAATCGTGTTATTATACTCAAATAAAATTTAATTTACGCATCATATTTGCTATCGACCTTCAGTAATATTGTAGGATGCACTCTAGCTAATCTCACTGTATCAGTGAGCTTGAAATATAATAAATAGTAGTAGCTCTCGAATGTTCTTGAAATGAGAGACATCATGACGCTAAGCTATTGGCATGAACTTACAGGTTTTAAAATCTAGAAATCTATGGTATTGGTAATGTTTTTAAGGAAAGTAATACTTATTTATGACTTTATGATGGATTTGCTGAAGAACATCTAAGGTCATCAGTAACTTTGTAATCCTTGACAATAGCAGAATATCGTAAATTCATTTATTGCCATTCAATCATTTTGCCTACTTACTACTTTAGATTTTGCATAGATTTCAACTATAACCCAATGTGTTCTTGTACAGCCAAATACAGTATCTCATCGTAAACTTCAGTATTTTTCGACAGATATTATTTCGCTCGAAGACGCAATTACCCCAGATCAATCGCTTGTATTTGCGGAAGCCATAACATAGTGCATGGCTTGTATCAGAGAATCGTGCATTACTTTTACTTTAGGCTATATAGCACACTATTTGCCATAGACTTTCGAAGCAGTTATAATTAAACACTGTTCAAATCAAATAGTATTCGTAAAATTAATTTTCGATTTGAATGAATCACAGAGCAATTTATTACCGTATCATGAAATTAAGCCCGACTATGTAACTAATTATGTAAAACAAAGTTCATCCTAGTACTCTAGGCACTATTCAGGTAGCTATACCGTAACATGGTATAGAAATACTTAGTAAATAGCTCAATTTAACGGAAAATAAGGTTCGAGGCCTATTTTCATGTGACAAGCGTAGCACCAATATTATCATACAGCTATGACCATCGATGTTCTACTTAATTTTATCATCTTATAATGAAACTTCTAGATTTGATATATGCCAGTATAGCGAGAGAGGTTAATAGTAACTCACTAAATTATCAGTCTTTCGCAGAAAATGCAGGATTATCATATTCATTCGTAGATGACTCCAGGCGATCCAGATTATACTCCGGCCCTATAGTTATGTAATATCGTGTTTGATGTTTAGTCTTCAAGTTACATAGTACCTAGAGGCGACTGTATAATATGACCGCCTCATAGACGGAACATACGGAGTTCTAACACCATGTGGAATTGTTTATTATTACTAGTAAACGTAGCATTTACTTACTGGGCAAATCTGATCTTTTACTTGATGGGTGTTTAACATCGATCATGCTTGGATTGTTTGATAGTGAATAAAGACGATAAGGAAGTAAAGAAAGTGTTTACTATAGTTTATGGCTAAGATGACAGTGTGAGAATAGGCTAAACTAGATCAGTGGCATAAATGATAGCGCTCTGATACTAAAGTAATAACGATAATTAATCTGTAATAGAACTTTCCCTTTCTTCTGTAGGAAAATATATGCTGCCAAAATTATTGCAACACCAATTATGCTTTCAATAGCAATACCGATATACGTGCCAGCTGAAATAAATACATCACTGTCAGTATGACGATAACTGCAACCTATATATGAATGCATTATATATATAATGTATTAGGTTGCTTTTACCGCTTTGTGTTGCAGGACTTTGACAGTTATCTCCACCAAAGCCTCCAGAACAGCTAAAATCGGATAAAAATTTATGAACATGCATTACTTGAATTCTTAATTTTAATTTTAAAATCCTAATACGCGTATTTTTTTATATTAAAATTTCTTCGGGTACAAAATATATCTGAGTATGGAATATCAACTAAACCGATTTTCAAAGTGGCTATATAACTAAAAAATTATAATATTTGATTACTGCAATACCTGTAAGTTGGCTTGTTATTCATGTTACTTTGACCATTGTGGCTGCAATGCCCTCGTGAACAAACAAGTCTGCATTACGCGGACGTCGGAGTCAAAGATAAACATAGCATGAATAAATATAGACGTTGTACGTAAAGTTAGGATAGATAAATTAAGAATGTATTAACAATTCTTAGTTTCAGAGTTATCTAGTCTGAGCGGTAAATAATAACTTCCCCTCTACATACTTATATTTGATGGATTAGACATTAAAATTTGATTATTAGTTGGATTCCGAGCGCGTCATGAAAACACTCCATCGTCACCGATCGACATCGGGCTGAAAGTTAGGTAAGATGTAATTCTAGATTTCAGATTGCTAACTACTTCCGTGATGTTAGTAGTATTTCTAGAAGTAAACGCTGTATTATCTTTCATCCATGTTATAGGAAGTAGGGGCCGCCCTACAGCTACATTCTAATCTTGCAAAAGAGCCAACCTTGAATGTACTTGTATTAGCGGCAATAGATAGTATAGCAACTCCGATAGCTACAATAAATTAAAATGTACAGCACACTATTTGTACAAGATGCTCAATTATTTCCCATCATTCATTTATCGTCTTACTTTGAAAAAGGTATCACATGGATTTCCAATAATTCCAAAGTTACAGCTAAAATATTAAAAGGAGGCCACTAAGGCTATCGTAATAGTGTTTTGCATGAATATTAATTACCTAAGTCAGGTGAAGCTAAATTTGGTACTATTAGGAATAGCATTTTTCCTGTTGTTAAACCAAAATATGCTTTATCTGCCTTGCAATAAATCGCTACCAACGATATTACTACATGTTCCATTACCATTACAAAATTTCGGAAAGCAAGACATTCCTAATTTACAATCACAGGAACGAATTCGATTGTGTAAATCAAAAAATCAAGCATTTAATATTCTAACCAGACATTAATATACGGATTTAGAATCTTAAATATTATCAACAAGCTATACGTAATAAATAACAGCGGAAAGATAGGTTTGACCAACGTGTAGCGTTAACAATTGATATCTAAGCCATAAACAAGTAGACTTACTCCTAGCTAGGGCACCAGCAATTTCTTGTGTGGTTTCAGTATGAGTTACTTAAGCTACCTTTACATGATCGGCGTGTTACTAGTACAAGTGATACCTTTTCTTCTCAAAACAAGTAACTGAAAGACCAGTGATATTCGGTCAGACTTTTGTGGCTTGCCGCTGAAAATATTCAATTTTTTATATTTGTAGCCGTTAGATACTTGGTCATTGAACGATTATTGGCTTAGACTTTGCCACCTGAAAAGTACTACAGTGGCTTCTATCTCAGTATAGAGAGAAGTGTGGTTAATGTATATTGTAATAAAATAATTCGAAAGAGTTTATAACTTAACTAATTAATGAGATGTAAACGGCAAATTATCGCTTACTGTTGAACGCAAACTGCTCATGTAAAGCTAGCTTAATGTATTCGTTAACACATAACTGCTGTAATTAGCTGAAATCATTGCGTTGCTGTAGTATTTAATTGTAATCAATTGTTACGGTGTTGCCTTGTCATTAGGATAGTTGAATAAGTACAGTAATAGCTATTATGGAGAATATCCATATTTGCAGTGCTAGGTAAGATAAGTAATGCCTTAACGTGGATGTTGTTTGTAGTAGTTCATTACATATTTGATATTGATTGTTATTGAGTGATAGATAGCAATAAGATGATTCAAATTCTAGTTGATGATAGTTGAATTAGACAATCTACGAGCTTAGATTAAGATTAAGTATGAGTAAGAGATTCAAAATATTTACTGATAGAAAAGCTATGTAAGGAATATCTTAGTTCGAGGTGTTTCTCCTAGTAAGGTATAATAATAATACTGTTGTTGTTTATAAATTATACGGTTCCTATAAAAACTGGAACATTTGAGTTGAGTGGGGTGGTAAAAAGCTGTAGATGTATCTTTGCTAATAAAAGTTTCATCTTTACAGTATTTTGCTGTAAGTGTTCAATGTTAAGTAAAAGGGCGTTTAAGTCAGTAGCTACTTATAGACTTTACTGTACGTTACCTTGTCGCAGAAGTGAAATTGTGACATCACTATATAAGAATGCTAAATGAACCAAGTTTAGCTCTCCATTCTTTATAGTAATTGGTACTAGTTGATAGCGTGACAGGCGTATAATGAAATTATTGATAATATTTATAGCAATAACTAGAGGAACAGCATCATGAGATTATTTTTAATTATTATCTTTTTCATCTATGTATCATCATTGTTCGACCGTGGTAAACAGACTCATCTGAACTAGTTTACGCCAATATAGTAATTATGTGAATAGAAAATAATTAGAAAATGAAAGTGTTAAGGAAAATAGTAGTAACCAGATAAGGTGACAAATAATATATTAATTAAATTATAATATGAAAAATGATTATATCAACTAATCTATGAATTATTTACCGTTACACTTCCTATTTACAGATAAATTATACATCTTATAACTTATAATTCATGCTCAATAAATTGAAACTTAAAATCTTTTCCGATAGAAATTTATTCTTATATGTCATCTTGTTACAACTTCCAAATTTTGTAAAAAGTACTAG